TGAAGACAGTCGATAAAATCAGATAGGACTTTTTGAAATGTTCATCGAGATTTGTGTAATTTCCAATGGCGGCCTATTGAAAACTGATTAAGTTTTCATTTTAGCATATTCGTAGAAAAATTCTCAATCGATTGGCTTGTTTAGAATTAAAGTCCATTAGCTATTGACAGAGTTGAAAGTGGTCAAATCCTAACCACTTTTCGTAACGCTGTCGATTTTGATTTTTTTTAAATTGCACCCCCAAATTTGTTGTCGAAAGACATAATCCTATCACTGACAAGCCTACATGCCACTGGAGCATTTCGTTTGCCCACAATTCGATTTATCAAATGTGTGATTTGATCTGTCCAACGGGCGATCATATCTGTCAAACGAGGTGAGACGCAAACCAAGGCAATATAAATTCTACGTGTGTTCGTGTCCTTGCTCATGATATGACGCGATCGGATGAGTAGATGGCGGTAGCGTTTAACGTATTTTAAATATGGCGTCTTGAGCAAAATTTTGCAAGTAGCTTCTATGAGCTGTCACGTCGGTTCGTCGGTGATCTTACGTCAAAATGCTAAAAAAAAAATGACACAATGTTAGCATTTTTAATGTGCCTGGATTTTTTCGTGTTCAACCTTTAATGGTAGCGAAGAAGCATACCTCAAATAAGGCCTGTACTCGAAAAAAAAAATGCACCAGACAAAAGTGTTCGCCAAAAATTTATTATAAGTCGGATTTTCTTGAAACTTTCAGGGAATGAACTAATGCATATGGATTATGCTTCGTCATTATTACTTTATTCAATTTCCTTTCCATCGCTGAAAGCCCGCACCTTTCCCTTAAGACCCCTAATTACATTTTGTTCAATGGTGGAGCCGACCTTTTTGGTCACTTTCATCCATTCTTTCTTCAACTCCAGCTCGTTCTTAAACACCTTGGACGATTTTCGAACTTTAGCCTTCATTATGGCCCAAAATCTTTCCACCGGTACAACAACAACGTTATTGTCTCTGTACTAATCCAACGTCGATCGCGCGTAATGGCATGATGCCAGGTCCGGCCAAAATAATGTCTAGCCTCTGTAGAGCAAGTATTTTTTGGCGAATTTGTCCACTTTCTTCTTCCTTATGTCTTCCGGAACATCAAACCGTGATTTGGCAACGTAGAACTCCAGCCCCGGTATCTGCTTTGCGTCTGCCTTGATGTAGGTTTCGTCGTCACATCGGTTTCATTAACCACTCTCGATACACCTTCCTTGCGCGGGATTTGGCCGCCGTGTTTTGTTGATCACGCCGGTTCGGTGCCTTCAGGACCTTGAATACACGAAACCCACCTCGTTTCATGGTTTGCTGAATGAACCAGGCGGAACACTTTGCCTTCAGAGCTGCGTCGCGAATCGAAAGGTTCGGACTACGCTTGAAATAATCCAACACCTTCCGGGCCTTCACAGGGTCAGCTGTCTTCGATTTTCTTCCACTTCCAGCCCGCCGCTCGGTCTTCTGGGACTCCTTTAACCAATTTACCACCGAGACACAGTTGTATGGGTGATTCCCAGTTGTCTTCCGATCCATCTCATGATCGCAGTCAGATTTTCCATGACGGCGCGCAAAATTCTCCGGCGATTTTCTTCTTATTTCGATGACATCTCAATAACCACTGAACCGATTGTTATGAAATTTTGCACATGTAAACAATCCACTCCAAACTAGTTATACCCAGATTTTCATCAATTTTTACCCACGGATAAAAAAGTTACACACGGATAAAAATGGTGCATTTTTTTTTCGAGTACAAGCCTTAGTCATTTCAGACCTGGAAGACGTCGCACAATGGGTCAAATCGAGCCAAAATACGGATCTGATTTTTACCACTGTGTTAGGTCCTTGAAAACTAGTATTCTTATGTAAAAAACAAATCGATCGGTGATAATTTCATCGTGCGAAGATGACAGGAAGTGGTCTAAGGTGCCCTATTTTTCCAACATTTACCATGGATCAGAGGAAATCGCCGTACAATCTAGGGGGTAAGGGGCAAAATAGGCTACTTCCCATCATCTGCCTTCGAAGAAATTATCACCAATCGGTTGGTTGTGATTTTTGACATTAGAATAACCAGTTTTTAAGGAACTCCAACAGTGCACAGTGAGCAAAACTGAGCCAAAATATTGAACTTCTTTTTACTGCTGTTTGAGGTCCAAAGTTTAAAAATCACAACCAGTGCTGAGATTTGTCATTGTCATTGACAGACTTTCACGTCTTGACAAAAAAAAATTCACATAGTCACTGACAGACTTGATCCTCAAGCAAACCTTCGTCAAAATCTCATTCATTTTTTCGTCAATGACAAAGATTCACCTTGTAGCAAAAAGTGTATTTTCATGCATTCTGTGTCACATTATTGTTATCTAAGCAGTTCAGGACGTAGATGCTTGTTCACTTTAACGGCTACATGTAATTGTGTTACTTAAGTCATTTAATTTTGTTGCAAAAATTTAGATAATAGAAAAATGTACGAATGTTCGTCGCTGACAGCATTGTCATTGACAATTGACATGGTTTGCCTTGACAATGACTGTTAGCTGTTAGAGAGTTAGAATTCCGGAGAACTTTGAGATTTTGGCGTAATTTCTTTAGTAAACAAACACGTGAATCGCTGATTTCTTGCTCAATCTTGCAAACAAACTATACCAAATGATGGAGGAATCATTCCTCTACCTGTTTGTGGTGTTTGTTTTTTAGATTGAGCTTTAATTCGCGAGAAATCAGTGATTGATCGGTTTGTTTACAAAAGCAATTACGCCCTAATCTTGAAGTTCTCCGGAATTGTCAATATCACCATGTAGTGTCGAGACTTTGCAGCACTGATCACAAAAAATTTAATGGTCATCTAGACACCTTTGTTTTTCTATCTTGCATTCTTATTTCCATCTCAAAAGATTTCCTTGATCGGATCGGGAATCGAACCCGCTGCCTCTATCTTGGTAGTGCTGTACCTTTACTGACTAGGCTATCTGCTCTGACGCACAGTGGGCAAAATTATGCCAAAAATCGGAACTTATTTTGTTGAAAAGGCCTCAACTCCATTTTGTAAACAAACCTTGTAAGGCCATTTTGTCGCGAACCGAGGACCGCCAACGCAAACCAACCAAATGAACAGGTAGGGGAAATGCTCCTCTACCCGATTGTGTTTTAGATTTGTGAATGTAGGTTTCGGTTCACGAGAAAATGGCCTAACTAAGGTTTGTTTACAAAATGGAGTTGAGGCGTTTTCAATTGTTGGTCTGGAATTTGCAGATTGAGTTAATTAGGTGTTAGGACAGTAGGCCGAATGCTGCTAGGTCTAATGCCAGTAGGCCGAATACCAGTAGGCTGAATGCCAGTAGACCGAATGACATTTAGCCACATGCCATTAATCCGAATGCTAGTAGGCCGAATGAATTATTGGGCCGAATGCCATAAAGCCGAATGAGTCACTAGACCAAAAACAAAAATAGTGATAGATTGATCTCTGACTGTTATTTGAAACTATCTAGGACTGTTAGAGTTCTTTCAGATCTCTAGTTCAGGCGGTTAAATCATATCCATATTATTTTTGGCCACTCATCATATTTATTTGAAAAATTTGTTTATATTTTGTTGAGTTGTAAATAATTGTAACCTGAAACTATTTACATAGGGGAAATGGATGTAATGTCGGCCTAAATGCCCCTAATGTGGGCCCATACATAAATCGACTAATTTTACTAAATATCCATTAGTACCGTCCCAATGACGCGTTCATCTAGATAAAATTGATAGGCTGACATTAGAGCCATTTCCCCTATATGTTTGTTATGTTATGGTATGTTATGTTGTATTAAGGTCTGAGGTCACGTGTCCACCATTTTTGTTAGTTCGTTGAAAAACTAGTGTTTAAACCCAATTATCTCGAAGATGGTAAAGATGATCAAAACATCCAACTGACAATCTTTTCTTACTGACCTTACCAATCAGGCTAAGGCATTGTTGTCCACTGATTGGGACCATACCTTTCCGATCAATAAATGTCACTATTGGCCATTTTTCTACTGTCTCTATTTGGCAACTATTTTAATTATTTTAGTCACTAAAGTCACTACTATTACATCACATACCCACTACCTTCTTCTTCTTATTCTTCTTCGCATTTCAAGCTTATTGCATATTGCATATTAGCTTATTGCGTGCTCTCAACTTAGTGTTCTAGATGCACTTCCACAGTTATTAATTGAGAACTTTTGATGCCTGTACCATTTTTGCATTGGTATAATTGTGGGGCAAGTCCAATCATACTTCTATGCCCAGGGAAGTCGAGAAATTTTCAAACCCGAAATATTCCTAGACCGAACCGGGAATCGAACCCAGTCACCTCCAGCATGGTCTTGCTTTGTAGCTGCGCCTTTACCGACTGAGCTAAGAGAGGCCCCATATACCCACGACCAGCCATGCCATATGAATCCATAAAACATGTGTTTGCCCCACCTAACTCCACCAGTGATCCTTTTTAACTAATCTACATACTACCATCTTGCATGGTCACGAACCTGCCAACATCAATAAGCTGGAACGCATCCACCCCCTCCCCCCCAGCAGCATCCAATCCAGCGTTGATTGTAATCCTGGCTCCGATTGAATGGTGATTAATTTTATTGATTTTGTATCATGTGTTGTTGTTTCACTTTACATATACCTACCCACATATTCCTTCCTTCGTTCCTTCAGACGACAAATCGATACGGATGTATGTCATTAGCAAGTGCGGTGGAAATTCGATACCCTTAACCAGATTTGCGCCTTCCTGCAACGGTTGGTGGTGGTCTTCTGGATTGCCTCGGCTTACCGGATTACCTTCTCCAGGCTCCCCTCCTCCCCCCCCCTCTGCTTGGTAGCCTGGTTTCAAGTGTTCCATGATTGATTATACCGCAGGGCACTTGTTTGCTGACCGTGAAATGGATGCCCATACGTCTGTTGATCGAATTTTTCTTCTCCTTTCAGATGTCACGTTCGAACTTTCAACGCTCCCAGAGTCGAGTTTGGTATGGCAACGGTAACAGTGTGCCAGATAATCCCTTCTACGGGGATGCCCTCGCCATGGGTAGTGGATATTATTTTCACTACAATCAACTGCAGGGGCGGCAGCCTTCGTCACTGAGGCCTTCGCAGCCGAGCAGTTTTCAGGATTTGGAGGAGGAAGAGGAACTGCTGGTGCAGACGACGCCCGAAAAGCAAATCAATGGCAATGTGAACACCAGTGCCGGTAGCACCAACAGTAGCGGATCTGCCAGGAGTGGCAGCACAGTTTGGAATGAGGCCAACCGTCAGGGCAGCCCGGCTAGTCACAAAAGTCAGGTGAGTTTTTGTTACGCATCCCACGCTTTAGCATCGATTCTTAAATGGTTATTATTCGACCACAGGACTCTGGATTTTCGGACACAGAACTCTCACCAAACATGCCATCGATAAATAGCAATACCAGCTCAAATAGTAAGAATTTCAATGAATCCTCACCGGACAAATTGACACCAAAGAGAACCATCAACGAGCAGCTCTTCCAGCGATCGCCTTCCATCTCCAGTGAAGTGTCCACCCCACCGACCGTAATTCGACGACCTGCGCCGGAGATAGCTCGCGATGAAATTACCGCACGACGAATATCGTACAGTGAACCCCACTCGCCAACGCTTTCTCCCGCAGATCCATGCGAGGACCTGGTGTCCAAAATAGATAGCCTCAACTTTGATAATACATCGCCCCTCGACGGTAGTCAACTGAGCGGGAAGTTCAATACCACCGAAGAAGATGGTTGCCCATCGTCGACGGGACCTTCATCGCTGTCGTCATCTTGCCACTGTCCCACTCGAAGCAGTGGAAGTTCCCTCAAGCGTGGTCGAGTAATAACCAAATGCAGTCGAGTCAAGCGAAACCTCAACCACCAGTTGCGAGACTCCGAAGAGGAGATGATCTCGCTGGATAGCAGTGAGCTAACGAGCATCCTTAACCAAACTCTAGCGCAGGACGTCAGTCTGTCGGCGTTGAAAACTCCAAAAAGCATCCTCAAATCACCCCCATCCTACAACAACGAAACCGTATTCCTTGGGTACGTTTCACCCGACCGCAACAACAATCTCCGCTCGAAATGCGGCGAAAATATTCCCACCCGGGACAAAGAACTCCCCTCCTACGCTGAACTCTACCCGAACGGGACCTCAACTCCCATCATGTACCCGCCAAAGTTCTACCGCTCACTCCCCCCAACTCCGACTCGAACGCAACGCAGTCCCACCAAGCTACGTCCCACCAAGCTGATCGACAACTTCTACGAAGAACCTGACCCAGACCCCAACCATCGTCTCTCCTCCAAAGCCGAACAGACCTTCACCGAGTACGACAACCCTCTGCTCAATGGGCACACCCCCGCCGTCCAATCGTGGCTCGACGGACTCAGGTTTTCCTACCAAAGTGAAGTCATGTCCATCCTGCAGACTAAATCGATCAGCGTGGAAGCCACTCGGAACATCAAGATGACTTCGGCAACCGCGGTGAAACTGATCCGCCATCTTCAGTCCAAGGTCATTTCCCTGCAGGGAGAATTCGAGAAGGTCGAAAAAGTGTTCGCCTCAATCAAACGCTACCAACAGCAACAGGAGGAAGAAGACGAAGACGACGAGAAGGAGATCTACCAAAAAGCGGCACCGTTGGTGCAGAGCCTGGCTGCCAACATTTATGAATTCATTCAGAAGCAGAAATCAAACGACTACTTCGGGAAGGATTCGACGGAGCGGGCGGATCTGAAAAAGTTCCAGGAGAACAGTCAATCGCTGGTCGATATGACGACGGATCTGAGGATTGCGGCAGCCAATGGGGAGGATTTCGACTACCGATCGGTGGAAGAGGAAGTCCAGATCATCAAGCGGTACTTCCTGATTACTATTCGGTTGATTTTCAAAAATTTGGTCAAGGTGATCGTCGACACGATCGAGGACTCCAAGTGTGATTTGATTCTGCGGTCGAATCTGAGCTACGTTTCGATGCTGTCCAATTTGGACTTCCAAGGGTTGGCTTCGCTGAACGATGCCTTCATCTCGAATGGGACGGTCCGGGCACTGTTGATCGTGTGCATTGAGTGCAAGTTTTCGTCGATCAGGGCGTTGACTTTGAGAGCTCTGGCAACGGTGTGTTCGACGACGGAAACGATAAGGCAGCTGGAGAAGGCGGACGGGGTGGAGATTCTGCGGGATATTCTGGCCGATCAGAAGTCCCACGAGCGGAGTGAGCCTGAATTCCGGGAGGCAGTGTCGGTTCTGACGCAGATTACGGCTCCCTGGCACGGGGAGGACCACCGGATAGACGGGCTGAGGCAGCATGTGCACGCGATCGTGGAAGCCGTCACAGGTGAGTACCGTTTAAATGTCTTAGATCGTCTTTTTTGGCCATTGCGTCCCTGCTGGAGTTTTACGCTTGCCTTTATCGTAAAGTTCTCGGAGCATTTGCAGAGCTTGTCAATTTGGTGTAAGTGCCATTAAGCCAAATGAGTCACTAGACTAAACATAAAATAAAAAGTGTTAGATTGATTTCTGAATGTTCTTTGAAACAATCTGGGGCTGATAGAATTTTTTCAGATCTCTAGTTCGGACAGTTAAATCATACCCATATTATACATAGTTGAACTTTAAATCATATCCAAGGTTCTGAGTTCTCATCATTCAAAGTATTAAAAAAAACTTTCAGATCTGATTTCAAGAAAAAAAAAGTGGATCGCGTACTTGATCCTAATTGTACAACCATTCCATAGCAAAACAATATTGGGGTGCTCAGAATTTCATAAAAATTGATACTTTTGTTATCGCAAAATATTAGACCCGCATTTTTTATTTAGTCATTAGGGTGACCATTTCACGCTGATCAATGTTAGGTTGGTTCAAAACATCGATCTTTTCAAAAATGAGTTTTTTATATTGGGATTTTGTATTGAAAAACATTGATTGTATATGTTTTTTTTATGGTTTTCATGGTTTGTAGACATAGGGCGCAATTTGTTTTTATATTTTTCCTTGAAAATTAAGGCTTTTTTTTCACAACAGATGCAAAAATCAGCGATGTGTTTTTTTGTTAGTTTTTGAGATATTTTGACGTAGGACTACGACTATGATTTCTATATGGGGGTACACTTTGTGAAAACCGAAAATGGAACATGTAACAAATTAAGAAAGATTTTCAACGTTAATAACTCAGCTGCCCCTGGTCCAATTTCAATAATTTTATCACCAATCGATCAGAAATATGGTTACGCATCGATAACAATGCTTTCGAATGTTGATTTTCAACAAGAAACTATTGAAAAACTGGCAAATATCCAGCATTTTCCAAAAGCGTCGAATTAACTAACAAATCCATCAATTACCCACATGCATATGCTGCTTCCCCAGTACAGTCGTCAGAGAGTAGTAAGTAGACGAAACAAGTCAAAGTGGCATTCGCCTCCGAGCCTCCAAAGAAGCAACAATCTAGCATCTAATTCGACGAAGACGGCAGGAAACATTAGTGAAGCCGAGTTATTTTCGAAAGAGAGTGTCAATGAAGAGAATCGATCAATGTAGATAGGACCTATTGAAAAGTGACGCGAGATTTGTTTTCCGTACTGAGCTTCAATGCTACCGACGCCAGGGAGGCAGCTCTCACACCTGGACCCTAACAATCGACCCATCAACTCAACCGGGGACCAACGGCTTTACTTCCCGAAGAAAGGCGTGATCAGAGATGTTATGCCTTAGAACATGCCGGTGGCACCGACTGAGATTGGTCCCAGACCTGCTGGGGTGAGAGGTAATCACGCTAACCACCGGCGCCGATATTTTTCAAGGTGATATCACGGCGAATGAGAACGACCCAAATTTGAGTTTAGTTATCTCAGAAATAAGAAATAAAGTGCAGGAACCTCAGTGATGAGTAAATTTGCCTCATGTTTTCCCAGGTTTTTCCATGATTTTCCAGGGAAAAATTCCCCAATTTCAGAGAGATTGGATTCACTCAGTCTATTGGTACTACTCCGAGACTGAATAAAATTTTCGTCTATTTCCTCATTTTCTGGCAGATTTTTTAGGTTTTCCACAGGAAACCATAAGACAAATTTACTCATCGCTGAGTTCCTGCACCTTTGGCGATTATGAGTGAACTAAACTCAAATTTGGGTCGTTATCATTCGCCGTGTACACAAAAGGAAGAGAGCCAGTGTCGCTTCTTTATAGCAAACTACTCATAATGGGAGGAGTCTTTGTAGCTTTTATACCACTTGGTTGCACATCATTCCGCTTTAACCTGAAAAGATATAAAAGAGCGCTGCTGTATGGCATTAGCTCATTTTTGCTTCGGACGGCGTGGTGAACAGCAATAGTAGCAGTAGGAAGGTGGTGGCTAGTCCACTCATTCACACATAACAAGCAACAATTGACTTGTCGTGGCAAAGGAGGAAAAGTTCTGATAAAGGAGGCGCCAAGCGTCATTGCAAAGTTCTTCGAGATAACCGCCATCGGTCGTCTGGCTCGCCGTGGTGGTGTCAAACGTATCTCCGGTCTGATCTACGAGGTGTGCTGAAGGTGTTCCTGGAAAATGAGGTCCGTGATGCTGTCACCTACACTAAACACGCCAAGCGTAAGTGGCCATGGATGTCCTCTTCAATAAAACGGGCCTTTTCAGGGCCATCAAGCTTACATCAGTAAAGAGTTGGAATAGAATTTATCTGTGCTTGCTTGTCCATATTCAGAACCACAAGCCCCCAACGACCACACAAAATGCTCTCCAGAGTTGTAATCTTGTAACCAAACTTGGAAGCAGGGGTGCAAGTGATTTTGATTGATTCTCTTAATCAACTTTCTATTTGAAAAAGATTACTACAAATTTGGTACGCTTACAATTCAAAACGGAAAGAGTTGAGACAATAGATAATTGATCAATTAAAAGAACTAAATGCTCTTCACATTTATTCCGTCCACTAGCGTTCCTACGTCAAGCTTCCGTTCGTGCCCCTAGGCACAGCCCCTTCTACTTTTTTTTAATTTATCAAGTTTTGGGTTTTCACTCAATACTTCCATGCGACTAGACTACCATGCGTCGTGACCATGTTACAGTCGCTATAAATCAATGAAGACGCATGGTAGTCTAGCCGCATAGGAGTATTGAGTGAAAACCCAAGTCTTGATAACTTCAAAAATCCAAAATTTTCAAGGAAAATATAAAAAAACCCGAATTTATCCACCTATGGTGTGATCAGACCCTTCTTACTTATTCAAGTTTATTTATTTTATTGTCATTATCAGTGACCAAGCCCCCCACCCCCGTGTCATCCAGTGACGCTACGCCACTGCCTGGGGGTACCCGAAATATATCCGGGTGTAGTCTATTTGGAGAGGCTACCAATCACCTTAGCATCGTATTTTAATGTGATTTAATGGGTTTTAATTCAATTCATATTCAAGCAACTTCCCCGGGGTACCCGGAACATGTCCAAGTGTGTCCAATGTGGTCTGGAACACTTAACACGACTTGCATTGATCTTATGTTTGAATTCTGTAGTAATTTGATGTGTCGCATGATGGTTTTGATACGTTTTCCGTTAAATCCAGCGTGAATGCCCACATTCACCGGATCGTATTCCGGCCATATCTCCGGAACCGGTTCACCGATTCCAAAACCGTTCAATAGCGTTTAATGGGACCCCAAGACCTATCATTTGGCGCCGAGTTTGTCCAAATCGCTTGAGCGGTTGCTGAGAAACGTGAGCGCATTCATTTCGTTACATACACACACACATACACACATACACACATACACACATACACACATACACACATACACACATACACACACACACACACACACACACACACACACACACACACACACACACACACACACACACACACACACACACACACACACACACACAAACATGTTCCGATCTCGTCGAGCTGAGTCGAATGGTATTTGACACTCGGCCCTCCGGGCCTCGGATCGATAGTCGGTTTTTCAAGTGATATCTATACCCTTCTTTGTAAGAAGGGTAAAAAACATGTTGCGCCCTCTGTTTACAAACCATGAAAACCATAAAAAAAAAATGGATTTTGAAATTACCTTTCATTTGATATTTTGATCTTTGAAATCGTCTCAGTGGTTCAAAGGTTAGAAATTTTTGGAAAAAGTTATTTTTGAAAAAAATTGGTTTTTCTGGACCACCCTAACATGGAAATGGTCACCATAATAACAACATTAAAAAATACGACTTTAATATTCTGTGATAAGGAACACAACTACAAATTCTTCTGAAATTCTGAGAACCACTATATCGTTTTGCTATGGAATGGCTGACATAGAAAACTATGAAAGTTTCTGATTTAACAATGAAAAAAAATCGAGACCATGCATATTAGACTGATGCAAAATTTGAAATTTTTGCTCCACAGTGCTCGACCGGTTCCAAATTGGGCCCTGGTTAGCCTCGCAAAACTTGAACTCATTTATAGCGAATTCGTTTATTATCGGGGTTGGAATCAGTTCCAACCCAGTGCGAAACCGAACTTTTTGTCAGTGCGAACCTCAACCTGAGCTAGGTTTTAAAAACAAACGAGCAAACTGACGTTTGTCAGAAAACAAGCAAACCCAATCCTGATACCCGATCCAGGTTGGAACTGAATAATGAACGAATTCGCTACTAGTGAGAAACTGACTTGGCACAAACTATTTGAGGTTTACATGGAAATTACTATGGGAAAACAAAACTTTTTGTTCTTTGTCTTCTAGCTATTTACATATTGTACTGTTAACAAATTCTATTGCTATTCTTATGGTAATTTTTAACAGCTACAACTTTGCAGAACATCGTTTTTCAGCCAAAAGTCAAATTAAATAGTTATTAATTGTTTAAGAGATTGATAATCTTATGGCAAGATTAAGCAACTGTTTTGTGGGCAACACTGTATTCTGCAATGTGACATAGTAGCCATGATTTTTGTCCTCTATTCTACGCGCCATAAACACCAATGTTGCCTGCTGAACAGTTGATTGAGCATAATCATAAGACATCAGGGACTTGAATCATTAATAATTTTTGTTCCTTACGTTTGATCGAAAAGTGGTTTTCAACAAGTTCAGCTATCATTTTCTAAAGTAGAGTGAACTGGTGAATTTTGAGATAGATATAAACTGAAATTATGGTTTCTCCATAGTAATTCCCATATAAACTTCAAATGGTTTGTGCCAAGTCAGTTTCTCACTAAATGAGTTCAAATTTTGGAAGGCTAATCAGGGCCCAATTTGGAACCGTTTGAGCACTGTGGAGCAAAAATTTCAAATTTTGCATCAGTCTAATGCATATACAATCAATTTCACCTGAGGAATTT